GTCGTCAGGGTCCACCAGCACCAGCCGCCCTTTGGCCCGGAGCTGGCTGTAGACATCGTCCTTGGCTTGGAGCTGCCTGTAGAGCTCCTGCGAGGGAGGCAGCACCAAGGTGTTAGGGGAAAAGAAAGAGTTTGGAGAGGGGCTGCGGCTCGCTGCGACTCGGGGTGATGAGAAAAGGAGGTTTGGGGCAGGCAGCAAAGTGCCAGCGGGTGTCAGTTTGAGCAGAGAAAGGTGGTGAAAGCATCAAGTGTAAAATTATCCATAAGAAGAGGGCAGAGAAGCACTCTTATTCCCATCAGACACAAAAGGGAGAAGGTTTTGATGCTGATATTTGACAGACAGGAGCTGGCTGAATTAAAAGCATTAAAAAAAAAAAACTCTCCTAAGAAATTACCATGTGGCCATTGAGTTGTTCCCGGGCAGTTTCTGGCAGACCTCCTGTGGGCTTTGACGCCAACAATTGGCTCTCCATCCTCGTCAGCCACAGGAGGAAATCTTCAATCTCACCATGGAAACCCTGGGCCTGTTGGGGAACACAGAATCGGCGACGGATGAGATGGCATCAGCCTCCATCGGCCACGCGCCAGGGTTAACGCTGCCATCGCTCCGAAACCAGATAAAGTGGCAGAGCCGGATGCACCGGGGCGCTCCGGAGGGTTATGGACGGTGCATCCCGAACCCTGGGGGTCCCTGCCGTGCTTCTGGGCAGTCACCGAACCCCTCCAGGACTAGGAATGAAATTAAAAACTCCCATAAAAAAATCCCACTGTCTCCCCAACTCCTTCCCCCTCGGAAACGGAGGGGGAAGCGGACCCTCGGCAGCAATCCCCTGCCCTGGGGGGTACCCCCGCGGCGTCTCCCCGACCTGCTGGAGCGTGGACTGCAGCTGCTGCTCCCGCTCCTCCGTCTTCTGCAGCACCAACTCCCAGCACGAGTTCAGCATCTCCAGGCAGTTCCGCAGGCTGCTGGCATCATCCCCGGCGCTCGACTCCAGCAGCTCGTTGCCGGCTTTGTTCACCGTCTCCACGGTGGCTTGGTGGGCCAGGACGTCGTTCTTCAGCACCTGCACGGGACGCGGTGGGCAAGTGTTGGACACTGTCGGACACCATCAGGCTCCATCCAACTCAAACCCTCCATGAGAAATAAAATCCTGCACCAGGAATGGACTAAAAATGGACCCGGAGCAGGAGTACTCACGTGGTGCTTGGCGAGTTCAACCTCGATGACTTTTGGGTCTCCGTTGATGGGTTTTTGGGCGTCGAGCAGCTCCTCGGTGTGGGTCAGCCAGGCCATCAGCTCCGCCAAGGCGTGCTGGAACTGGCCGAGCGCCAGGAGAGCGGCTTCTAACTTATGCTGGGCGAGGAGAGGGAAGGAAGAGGAGAGTTTAAGTTGGGAAGGAGGGGAAGCATCCCAGCGGGTTCACACCCAGGTTATCTCCCTACCTGTCTGTGAGCAATTTTCTCGCCCAAATTCTCCCAGAGATGTTTCAGCTCCGTCAGCGGTTCCTTTATGATGTCTCTGTCTGTCTCATCCGTAGCTTTTTTTAGCACCAGTTCACCTTGGTGATTAAGCTTTTCCATCTCAATCTGCTGCTGGTAAACCTCCATTTTAAACTCCTGCCAAGAGAAGCAGGACAAAAACCAGAACAGAATGAACCACAGGCACACGAGCTGCGCGATGCACGGCCAGCGCCGGAGCGCCCGTCCCGCTGCGCCCGCGTTACCTTCATCTCGTTCATTTGCTCCTTCACCGTGTTGAGGTCGGTGCCGACGGGAGACATGTTGCAGAGCTTGATCACGGCGTTGTCCAGCCAGTCGAACATGGCCTGGAAGGAGAGCAGAGCCCATCAGCACAGGGGATTCCCAGCTGGGCTCTCCCTGCGGCCGGCCGGGGAAGCGGGGCAGGCGTCTCCATCACCCCGCAGCCACAACAACTCGTCTTTCAGGGCAGAGATGCCGCAGCGCACACTTTTGCAAGCTCCTTCCTCCCCTCTCCTGCTTCCAACACAAGGACCTGAGCAGCCGGGCTCGTCCTGCTGCGTCGGGCAGAACCCAGGAGAGGTTTGGGAAGATGGATGCAGCCAAATATCTGCTCTTCTTGGGGCTGGTTGTGGCTCAGGCTCTAAGAGAGGCTGCAAACTCTCACCCAGGAGACATTTCCCTGCTCTGCATCAGTGCAAATCCCAGCGGGAGGATTCTCAGTGGTGTTCCCAAGGTCCACCCACCCCACGCCAACAGCCCTGCCTCTCACCTGGAGCGTATCTTGGTATTGCATAGCCAACTGCATGGCTTCTTCCAGCTTCTCCAGCCTCTCGTTCCAGGTTTTGTTCAGACTTTCCCACATGTTGTTCATCTGCGGAACACAAGGTTGCCCACAGAAGTCG